GGGGGCGTAGTGTAGGGAGAAAGTACAGTGGCACAGTTGGGGCCAGTGAGAGTGGAGTCACAGATTGCTCTCAAAACAGAAGTCTAAAATCAAATTACACTGATAGCAGAGTAACTGGGGAAAAGATTTTAACCATTGGAATTGGATTTTTGGTAGAACTAATGTAATATTTTTATAAACTATATATTTGTAGTATATAAGTTATATGCTGTAAACTTATAAATTAATAATGTAAACCTAGAAGTCTCCCAACATGTTCTTGGTTTATTTTTCTGTCATGTAGGGGGGCATGTGAATTTAGCCAGCCATCAGTAAAAATCCTTGTATCTGAGCAGGAAACTATGTATTTATTGCTTGATTTTATCTTTCAAGGCAGTATTTCTCTGTGAACTTAACCCTGGCAAAAGGGAATTGAAATAGGCAGTTTTACTAGCAATAATTATCTTTCTCCTTTTTCTCCCTTCAGGAAAACAAAAAAGAACAAGCAGAAAAGTAAGAATTTTAATTTTGTTAAAATTAATTATTTTATCTTTATAACATTTGAATTTTGAATTGCCTTAAAATTTTAGAGTTATGTTTTTATAGAGTAAGCTTAAATTTATTGATAGTGTCAAATATGAATCACAGCCTTATTATAGATTTAGGTAGATAGTAGAAACCTAATTTTGATATTGTTTTTACCATGGAGAAACCTGTAAACATTTATTATTTTCATGTTCTTTATTCTTAATAATGACTAACTCTGAAGATAATTTTTTTTAAGAAATGTAAGATGGCAGTGTTAAAATTAGTATATAAAATTAGTATGAACGTTTATACTAAATGTTTGGTAGAGCTGTTCATAAAAGTTACATATTTGGTAGGAATATGAATTTATAATGTAGATTCAGGTAACATCTATTTAATGAAAAACGAAAGGGTGTGTCGCAAGACTGTTTCCCTTAAGAGTTTCTCATTTAATAAGTTAAAACTCTGCCCTCCTCCCCCTCGAATGTTGACAGCACCTGGAAATGGAGATGGTGGCAGTACCAGTGAGACTCCCCAGCCTCCTCGAAAGAAAAGAGCCCGGGTGGATCCGACTGTTGAGAATGTGAGTTTGTCCTTAGGTTTACGAATAGGATGTGCAGTCTCAGTCATGTTCAGCACAATAAAACAGTCCCAGAAACACTGCTACTGAAATGAAAATACTTTCCTTTTTTGGATAAAGAATATATTTATGTATTTTTTTTCACTTGTAACTGGGATATTCATGTCCCTGCTAGATTCCCACTCCCTGCCCCCAACTTATTGGATGTTCGTTTGTAAGCTCTGTTCATGTAGAAGACTGACTGTTTCTGTGTTGTCGCAATGTGCATCAGTTCCTCGAATGATGTCTCTCTGTTCAGCAACAGTTTGTTGATGAGATGCTGTAGGAACTTAACTCTTGTTTGTATTAATTAGCCTATGGTAAAATTAGTTCTGTTATACATCATTTTGCTTAAACTCAGATCCTGTCGATCATGTTAAAGAGGAT